GACATTTTTTTCGTGGTTTTTGTATTAGACCCGTCGTCCATTTATTTGTAAGTCAATGGATGTACACCGATTAGTACACGGTGAGAAAACACGATTCTTAAAAATTTTAACGATAAAAAAAACAAACTTACCTCGAAATCTAAACTTTATTAAACTTTACATATCGCACTGTTATTACAATAGTGTTCTAACTTAAAATATGTGAAATTCAAGATTATACCATTGTTGAACGTAAAATTTGATTCTCTACACGTCAATAAAACCGTCGTTAGAATATTTTAAGAAACAATTAAAAGATATCTATTTAACTCAAAATGAGAGAGACTGTTCTGGACAAAACAGTCGTTACTCGAAAATATGAAATTGTTTTTTTCCCTATTATTTTCAAATTATGATTTTTTTTTAGATGTCTGTGTTATACATTAGATGTCGGTGTTATACATTAGATAAATATTAGATAAGGTTATATATATCAAATCATCGTATTATTCCATATGTTAAATACTATACATATCTGTACTAAGTACATAAATGTTAACTTTTAGATAAGACAATGTTTTGAAGTAATTTAAGTGTTTACCTCACTAGGATATTACTATCCATTACCTAATTATGTTTAAACTTCCCACAAAACTTTGTTATATAAGCTTAGATTGTAAGACATGTAGAACATTACTATTTCCAAATTCAAAACGACCAGACTCTGTTATTTCTACTAACTATAGTTCTTTATATAATAAATAAAATATTTTTATTTTTAAAATCAGTTTTGTATCCACCGCGTAACGTCTGTAATAAACTTTATTGTATACATACATTTTAATAATCTTTCACGGGAAGTGAGTAATTCGTTTTTCATCGATTGTGAAAAAGTACACTTTTTGTCTTAATACACTCTTGTATCAACAGTACGATACACCAATATTTTTTTTATATCAACAGAACTAAATAAAACACGTATAGTGTACGACCATAGATTTAAATCTATGTATACGACATACATTTTTCAAATGGTTTTAATTTTATTTATAAAAAATCAATTTTTAAAAGATTGTTAAGTTAGTTTCCAGTAAGCTGAAAATGTACATTACTATAGTTATTATTAATAACTAGTACTTTTTAGTAGCGGCATCTGGCGCTTTGCTACATAATACTACGGCGCAGCATTAGGTTACAAAGTAGTATTTGGCAATACCGCTAGATGGCGCTACATACATCGATGTTTACTTCCTAATTGGAACGCCCAGAGGTCGCTCTGCCAATGTCTGAAAGAGCGATCTCGTACGAAACGAGCAATAAACGCAAAATCACTCTCTCTCATCTCTTCAACTTGTCATTGTCCAATTTCTTTATACAGAATTCACAGTAGTATTGTGATTCCAATTTATGTATTAGAATTTATAACAACTTTAAGGCTCAACTCATACTGGTGCATCTCTATATTTTCATAAAAATTTGTACCTTAATAATGGGTCAACAGAAATGAATATGCTATAAGCGAAAAACATGACGCGTCGCGACGCTTCGACTCTGCGTCAGTGTGAGTTGAGACTAAAATTACGTTTCAAAATCACCATGCTGCGTTGATTCGAATATAGCGTACATTTTAGCAAATATTTTACTCGGCACTGTCAATGGCGTGTGCCTTGTACGGTTTAATTCTACAAGTTCGCCATATCAAAGAGCCGTTGCAACTGCTGTCGTTTCGAGGCGATTTCGCGAGCCGACGCCGTGGCTCCTACATCAGCCAGCCACTCCAGCACTGACTGGCACTTGTCCCTGACGCGGCGGCCCTGTCCTGCCCGCTGCCCGCGGAAGCAAAGGCGCTCCAGCTCGGTCCTCGCCTCGGCCGCCTTTCGCCTGGCCTCGTCATCCCGCTTCATGGCTACCGCCTCCCGCACTAGTCGCGAGATCTCCTCCTTCGACAGCCGCCCTTTGTTGCTAATGATCGTTATCTGGTTTTTACTCTTTGTGATGGTTTGTACCGCCGAAACGTGAAGGATCCCATCGGCATCTAACTCAAAGGTTACATCCACAGCGGCTCGTCCCATAGGCAATGGTGGGACGCCAGACAAAAGAAATCCTCCTAATTCATGGTTATCGACTGTCATCTTTCGCTCACCTTCAAACACTTTAAACAAAATTTCGGTTTGGTTGTCGGCACTGTTGTAGTATCTCTTGGTGTTTTTCGTGGGGATGGTTGTGTTCCGATCGATGACTACAGTCATAATTCCTCCAATCACTTCGATGCCGAGGGAAAGAGGGGTCACATCGACGAGGATCAGATCAGAGATAATCTCAGAAGGATCACCGTCTAGAACAGCAGCTTGAACTGCCGCGCCGTAAGCGACGGCCTCGTCCGGGTTTATCGACTTGCTCGGTTCTTTCCCGAAGAATTCCCGTACCAACTGCTGAACATACGGAATTCGCGTCGACCCCCCTATCAACACTACATCTGCTATATCGTCTTTACCCATTTTCGCGTCGCGCATCGCTTGTTGCAAGATGTTTTTGGTCTTCTGGAACAGGTCCTTGTTGAGTTTCTCGAAGAGCGCGCGAGTGATTACCGCGTGCAGGTCCTCGCCGCCGTACAGTGCGTCCAGCTCCACGCTGGCCTTCGTCGACGACGAAAGCGTGCGCTTGGCGCGCTCACACGCCGTTCTCAGCCTCCTTAGAGCCTTGTTGTCTTTGCGCAGGTCCAGACCGTGCTTCCTGTCGAATTCGCTGGCGCAGTGCTCCACTAGGCGTGTATCGAAATCTTCACCGCCAAGGTGCGAGTCCCCGGCTGTGGCGCGGACCTCAAAGATTCCTTCTTCAATGGTCAGAACGGAGACGTCGAAAGTACCGCCTCCCAAATCGTAAATTAGCACATTGCGCTCCTCTTCTTCGGCCCTATCGAGGCCGTATGCGACCGCACCGGCCGTCGGTTCATTGATGATACGCAGCACGTTGAGGCCTGCGATGGTGCCGGCGTCCTTGGTGGCCTGACGCTGGGAGTCGTTGAAGTACGCTGGCACGGTTACCACAGCGTTACGCACTGGTTTGCCTAGGTAAGTCTCTGCCGAGCTCTTGAGTGTAGACAGTAACATGGCGCTTATTTCTTCAGGGAAGAAGGTCTTGCGTTTGCCCTTGAACCGAGCTTGGATCTTAGGCTTGTCGTCCTCGTTGACGACTGTAAACGGCCACAGCTTCATGTCTGCCTTCACCACGGGGTCGTCGAAGCGACGCCCGATCAGTCGCTTCGCGTCTGCAACAACCGGACAATTGCAATTCAGAACCGTGTTTTGGAAATGTTTTAACACATTATTGATGGCCAATTACTATTTCGAAAATTTGTATCATTTTAATAATGAATAGTCTGTTTTTAACCGGCTTCGGAAAAAATAGGAGGAGATTTTTAATTCGACTGTGTTTTTTATTTGTATGTATTTTACGCAATAACATTGGAAAGAGAGTAGCTCAGTATTAGCCCCATTTAAATCTGAAGAAAATATTTCACCTCTAAGGGTAGCAAACTAGGGGATGAATCCAGTTTTACGCACTGTCTGGTAACAATTTCAATAAAACTTGGGTAGATGTAATTCTACGAACTTTTAAGGACGATTTTTATAAAAAAAAGTTACACTTTAGTCTACACTATGATAATGACAAATTAAATTGGAGTCGAAGCTCCAAAATCTCGATCATCGCAGAAAAGTAGCCTGCTTGTCGGTTTTCTATCGGATACATTTCGGGGAGTGTGCGCAGGAACTTTTCAATTTGGTTCCGCCCTCACCGTTCCTCCTTCGGTCGACTAGAAGGTCCGGAGCACTCCATTCTTATGTCGTTGATATTCCACCTATTCGCACTAAGCGCTTTGCCTCCTCCTTTCTGATGCGTACGGCAAAGGAATGGAATGCTCTACCGGCATCTGTATTTCCCGAAAAGTACAATTTGGGGCTATTCAAGGCTAGAGTGAATAGGCATTTTTTAGGCAAACGCGTCCCATCGTCGGTCACATCGTCGCTTAACATCAGGTGAGATTGTGGCCAAGCGTGTGTCTATTATATATATATAAAAAAAAAAATTAAGGCCCAAAACATAAGGGTCAAAATAAGAGCCCTGCTGGTAAGTATTCACTTTTAACTGGCTTTTATAACGCTGTTCACTGTCTAACAGATTATACGGAAAAAATAAAATTAAAAGAGAACATCTGGTAAGGCACAGTTCTTATGTGTAAGCCAATTACAGGTATCCACATTACTCAATACCTAGATACGAAAATAATAAAATAAAAACAATTTTAAATATTAATAACCTAATTATTCATCAATGTCCTAAAATTTACGGTAAATAATTGATTATAAGATCGGAATAAATAGTTGATTGATGTATTTATGACAGTGCAATTGTATTAATTAAATATTTTGTGAAAGATATCAGTGCTGAGTACTAAAAACACTGAGCTCAAAAGTACGTGGAATTACCAAGTTTTATTGAATTGGTTACCGGAAAGTGCGCAAACCCGGAGAAAAACGCCTTGAATTGGAGAATAGCAAAACTAACCATTAAAATAATTGCTTCTTGGAATAAAATTTAGGCGCTATTTATAAAAATGAATCTTCATGCGTGAACAGCCACTCTTAGAGGCGGATGATTTTCTTCAAAATTAAATGGGACCACTGTGGAGGTACCCTCTTTCCAACAAAAAAAGAATCATGAAAATCGGTGCACAAATACTGATACAGTTATCGCGTAACATACATAAAAAAAAACATTCGAATTGAGAACCTCCTCCTTTTTTGAAGGCGGTTAAAAATACGTAATGCGTGTGTAATAAAAATATTTAAAAACTACGTATTTTTATTTAATCAATCAGATGCAATATAAATGACGCAAACAATTTATATTTTTTATTTAGTATTTATGAACGCAGGTTTGCACGATGCTCGTACGAGGTGAAAATCACAATTTTTAAAACATATTACCAGACCTTATAGGTACACGTGCAACTTGTGGAGTAATTACACTAAAAAAGCCTACAGTGCCTTGCGTGTCCAATTCAACTACGCCCTCAGGGGACTATTGGGACTGCCTCGACACTGTAGTGCCTCGGGGATGTTCGCGGAGGCTAGGATTGATAGTTTTCAGGCAGTTATTCGCAATAGAGTGGCATCCCTATTGGACAGAGTGAGAGGCAGCACCAGCAGTCTTCTTAAGGTAGTAGCAGAGAGGATGGACAGTCCAATCCTTAGGAGGGAGCAGAGGAAAAATTCCTAATTTTCGATTTGATTTTAGAGGGGTATATCCACTTTAAAGTTAAAAATAAAATATTGTATGAGTAGCTACACGATATATTCAAGCATAGACATGAATCAGAAACATAAAACAATAAAGTTTCCTCGATAGATAAAAATCACGAAATGACCTCTAATTTTCACATTTTTTCGATTTATTCTCGAAGTTACCATACTTGTTACAATGGTTAACAGTTTGATACCATTTCCTCTAGTTTGTTTATTCGAGATTTTCGGAAGTCGACATTTCGATTACAATTTATCAATAGGCCGGCAAATTCGTTTGAGCTGGATCAGTTTACAGTTCAGATCTTTGACTGATGCCTGGTGGTTGACCTCGAGCCAACTGAGTATCTCTTCACATTTGTCCAAAACTGCTTGCTTTATGTGCACTTGTATTTGCAAATTTTTGTTCTGGGCCTTCGACCGCATGCTGAAAACACACAAGACAAATATTTGAATCCAGAATGCGGTGGAAAATTCAAACTTAACCCGACTTTAGAAAGAAGAAAGAAAAATTATTTATTGTTGAAACACAGACAGGCATATACACAAAAAAGCAAGAACAATAATAAAAATAATTAAAGTTTTTATTGAACGTCAGAATGTATCACTACTACTTTAATTATAATTAATAGCGACATCTCTAGCCGGGGCTGGTAGCTGTAAAGGTATCTAACTGGGTGACGAAATATCATAGATTTCTCATACATGGCTCTACGGCTAAAAAGCCGTTAATAACCAAATACAAAGATCCGACAACAAGCACATGGAAACAATCGTGACGTTACGCTGGTTTATTCCGTAGCTTATTTGGCATAGCGTCTAGCACGGTTTGCTAGGAGACGTCGGTTCGAATCCGGCCGAGTCTTTGTATAAATAATTATAATAATAAAAACAAATTAAAAAGAATATTAAAACAATTTACATGATAAATGCAGTAATTTAGAGTCACGCGTGTCGCAGCTGCTACAATAGGGACTTGCTCAGCGTTAGCCACTATCGGTTTTTTTTAACCAAGCTATGGCGCCGATTTTCAATTTTGTAATAAAAAACCGATTTGTAATAAAAAAAAATCAACAATAAATAAATAAACAGATAAGAAAACCGACATTCTTAATAGAAAATGTACATATTTATTTATTTTTATTTCATAACATACATAATATTCGCATAAACCTATTAAAGATAGAAGTTATACCCTGAGTTTTAGATCACCAGGCCTCCATCTCCAAAATATCTGATTAATATTTATAAGTCCATGGAAACAAAAAACAGGAAAAAACAAAAAATAACATTATAAAAGTGTGTGTGTGGTTGAGTAGGAGTGCGTGTGGCGTGTGAGAGTGTGCATGTGTGAGTGTACGACCTGCATAAGTTTGGATGACGAATTGTGCATGCGCATGCAAGTAAGCGTGTGTGGGGGGAAGTTCGAACTTTAATTTCTTAAGAGGGAGCAGAGGAAAAATTCCTAATCTTCGATTTGATTTTAGAGGGGTATATCCACTTTAACGTTAAAAATAAAATATTGTATGAGTAACTACACGATATATTCAAGCATAGACATTAATCAGAAACATAAAACAATAAAGTTTCCTCGATAGATAAAAATCACGGAATGACCTCTAATTTTCACATTTTTTCGATTTATCCTCGAAATGCTACAGGTTACTGGGACAAAAATTAGATAATTAATTATATTTATGCATGATCGACAACTGTCAGTCACTACGTTTTTTTTTTGATCCCTTTAGTTTTAGAGTTATTCCGCTAAAACGAATTTGGTACTTTTAATGCGCAAAATTCAACATCTCCTGTCGCATGTCACGCGAACTTCGGGCATACATTTGTTTCACAAATTTGGGCGGAGCCAACGTCAAAACTTTTTTGGCATGAGAGCTCTTAGGTAATGTGTATTGAACTGCGAACTAGATATTTAACAGACTATAAAAAATACTATTGATAGATTAACTCATAGGAAGATACTAGAAAAGAAAATACTAACCTGTAGCAAAAGTACTGGAGTGTGTTTCTCGCTTCAGCAGAAATTTTCATTTGTTCCTCTTCCTTTTTGAACATTTCAGCTTCTTGCACCATTCTGTCGATCTGGTGCTTCGAAAGTCTGCCTTTGTCATTTTTTATGGTGATCTGTCTAGATTTCTTCGTTCTACGATCGACAGCTGACACGTTGAGTATTCCGTTTTCGTCAATTACGAAAGTGACTTCTATTTGTGGAACCCCTTTCTTGGCTCGCGGGATACGGGTAAGTTTAAATTTACCCAGAAGATTGTTCTCGCGCGTCATTATGCGTTCGCCTTCGAAAACTTGAATGAGAACCTAAAAAAAATTGGAACGCATTTACTAGTGTTGCAACTGTACATTCCGTCTGAGACTTAGTAGTATTTTTTTATTAACTTCAGTTTAAATTTCTCACAGAGAAAAACAAATTTCTGCAAGAAGCACATAGAAAAATTCGTAAGGACTGTTGATATGTTCCGTGGCTTAATAGGCAGAGCATCTAGCACGGATTGCCTGAGGGTGCTGGTTCGAATCCCGCCGGATCCAATGAATTTGTCTAAGCGTTCGATCTTTGTTGTGACATCTGGTGTACAAATTGGGGTTACCTATCAGAAATCCGAAATGATATTTTCCAGAAATACGCTAGCTCGAATTTTCATAACCTAATTAATAAAAAATTAAAAAAGTAATTTTGAGAGGAAAACTTTTTTCTTTTAAACCTAACTTAACCGAACCTAATCGTGTCTTTGCAATAAACATCCAACATATCCTGAAAAAAAAACAAAGGTCTCGTTATAATTCGGTTTTCGGGGTAATGAAAATTCTAACAAACGTTACTTCGGAAAAAAATTCGAGTTTGTGATAGGTTACCACAAATAGGTACTAATTATCTGTCTACGCTGCCTTGTTTGGGGGCTAGCAGTCACCTTGAATTAGGTCCATGATCATGACTAAATTACAAAGTCAAATAATCATTCCATTGGTAAAATTTTTACACTTGAAAACGTCATTTTTTCTGCTCGTTCACTACGCTGACCCTGAGAAGAACGAGCAAGAAATTCTAAGGATTGCTCTTTTCAAATAAACTTAAATTCTATAGAATACATTTTGAATCATATTTGTGTGGAATCTAGACTCACGTAGACTTTCCATACATCTTTATTTAAAACGTAGTCTACAATTTTGTAACATGACTTTTCAATTAAAATAAGTTTTAAATTTAGGAAATGGTAATCTTAATATATGCTCCGGAATCTTATTGTAAAAACGTATACAGTTCCCCATAAAAGAATCGTTTACCTTAGTTGAACGAAATCGTGGTAACATGAGTTTGGCCTTGATTCTAAGATTATTTATGGATATCTTCTTTCTTAACGAAATTATGTATAGACATACAATATATTTGAGTAAATGTACTGTGATGCCACAGTCATGATACCAGTCGCCTTAAATTTTTCTCCGAGAGAAACTCGAGAACCTAAACGGTACACAGAACGCATCGCTCGTTTTTGCAACACAAATATGGTTTGTATATCTCGACAAATAAGTACCTAGGCAGCTTTCTTTCGATTTGTTGTCTTTTTTAATACCTTAGAAAAATAATTTTCACACAAAGATCGAACATTAAGAAAAATTTTCTGTGCTAAACCAGGTCATTAGACATTACGAATTTCTCTTAAGGGTCTATACTACCTCAGCTCGAATTAGAATATTTTCCCGTACTAATACGGTCCATTTTGCTCGGGTGAAGCGGAAGGGATACTGGCTTTATATCAGAATTATTTTTTTTTAAAGTCATTTGAAAAATCTATATATCGTATACTACACGTGTTCTATTTAGTTCAGTTGATATAAAAATCATAGGTATATGTAAAATACCTCTTGAATGAACAACGGTTTTCTCGTAAAATTTCGAGGTAAGTTGTGTTTTTCTTTTTCTTTCAGTGTAAATCCTAGATTTCACTATTATATTTTTTCCAAAGTGCACTCAAATTAAACTTTACGCAGCGGGCTTACAACTCCTTGCATGTACTGTACAATAACATCTTTAGGGTTCTGTTGAGGCTTCCCCGCTTTTGCAGTGCATCTGGCATGTTTGCGGATGCATGCGTAGATGATTTTTACGCAATCATGCGCAAAAAAAGTGCGTCACAGATGTTGCGGCTGCGTGGGAGCACCAATAGTATCCTAAAGATGATAGAAGTAAGAATGGACTCGCCTGTCTTTCGGCGGTTTACCGAGTTACATGTAATATGTAAGTAATAATAATAATAATGTAATTGCACCTATTTGATAATTGTTTTGTCCTCTTTGTCTCTACTAACTTAGCACATAAGATTATTGTTACTAACAAATATGGACTAAGTTGTCTGAAAAATAAATGAATTTGAAAAATTTGAATTTAACACTTTCAATGTTATACGGAATCAACTAAAGTCATTTGAGGTAGTATAGACTCTTTTAAGTGTTTGTTACAGTTGTACTGTATTAGAGTTTTTCGGTTTTTATCGCATTATCTTTCGTATTTCATAATTACCTGCTTTTGGTTGTCCACTGCAGTGGAGAAAGTCTGCGTTGCCCTTGCAGGTATAGTAGTATTCCGCTCTATCAACTTAGTCATTACATTTCCTAGAGTGCTAACTCCAAGCGACAGAGGTGTTACGTCCACAAGCACCAAATCCATGATAACTTCCGAAGGATCTCCGTCCAGAATCGCCGCCTGCACAGCCGCTCCGTACGCAATAGCCTCGTCAGGATTCACACTCTTGTTCAACTCCTTATCCTCAAAGAAGTTCAACACCAGTTTTTGGATGTACGGAATCCTGGTCGAACCACCCACAAGAATGACATCGTTGATATTCGCCTTGTCTATTTCGGCATCGCGCAATGCTTTCTCCATAGGTGCCAAAGTCTTCTCAAACAGGTCCCTGTTCAGCTCTTCAAATTGGGCCCGAGTGAAATTTATGTGCAAATCTTTACCTTCATGCAATCCAAGAATGTCGACACTTGCTTCCATTGCTGTGGACAGAGTCCGCTTGGCCCGCTCACATTGGTTCTTAATTCTAGTTTGGGCCCTTTTGTCTTTCCGCAAATCTATGCCATGCTTCCTATCAAACTCAATTACGCAACGCTCCACCATACGAGCGTCGAAATCTTTACCGCCCAAATGAGTCTCGCCAGCGGTAGCTCTGACGTCATAGATGCCTTCCTCTATAGTTAGTACAGAGACATCAAAAGTTCCGCCTCCCAAATCGAAAATTAGCACATTTCGTTCTTCATCAACATCGGTTTTGTCCAGCCCGTAAGCAAGAACAGCAGCTGATGGTTCGTTAATGATACGCAGGACATTGAGGCCTGCTATGAAGCCGGCGTCCTTGGTGGCCTGGCGCTGGGAATCGTTGAAGTAAGCTGGCACGGTGACCACGGCGTTGCGCACCGTCGCTCCAAGGTATGACTCGGCTATACGCTTGACCGTGGACAACACCATTGCACTCACTTCTTCAGGAAAGAAACTCTTAGTTTCTCCCTTAAACGTTACTTCGATTCTGGGCCTTCCGCCTTGTTCTCTCACTACTTTGAAAGGCCATTGCTTCATATCCTCTTGCACCACGGGGTCGTCGAACCGACGCCCAATCAGCCGCTTGGCATCTGCAACAAGCCATCCATAACTTGGCTTAATTGTTATTAACTTAATTCAGAGTGAAATTGAATTGACTGGCCAGACTTTTAGCGACGAAATGTAACCTTTATTACGTACCCATATAGACTCTCCAGAACTTCTGAGTAGGGTTGGGTTTACAATCCCAAGACCAAATGCAAGAACAAGAAATTATATACCTTTCAGATCTCGTGTTTCTAGGACTAATCTTGGTATATCTGGTCCTATAAATAGAATGGTTAAAACCTACAATCAATTTCATAGACAGTGTGATTTGGATATTTTTAAAGACTCACTGCTCTGCTTCAAAACTAAAATTAAAAAATTCATGTCTTCTTAAAACTAAAATAAAATATTAAAGGGATTAAAATTGAAAATTTCAATTAAAATAAGTAATTTTATTAATCTGTAACTTGCTATTTGCTTTGTAATCCTGTAATAAACTCTTTAAAATGTAAATCTTACTCTATAACATAAACCGCTTGTATTTTACTAGTATGCTGTGGTAGCCTGTAAGTGCGATATATATAATGATTTTATATTTTGATTGTAAATTATTAGCTATACTCTTTATATGTATTGTGTTGGCTATCCATTTCTGAATAAATAAATAAATGAATAAATAAATAAAGCGACAAAAAGTAATAAAATTCGTGGTAGTAATAATTTTAAACTTTGGATACAGACAGTCTTATACGTTCAGTCAAAGGATTTTTTTACCCTCTTCAAACAATATAAACATGCACTCTTAAGCACACTTCGTAGATTGTTCTCTAGAAGTGTATTGTAATACAGTATGGATGGTTGCCTTGTTGGAAATATGTTACAAATACCAAACGACGAATTTCGATAAAACCCAGTGGTACCTCAACGGATTTCTATATTTGATGTACTAGGGTATACATATGATTCAATTGGATTAAACCAATCGCAATGTCCTTTTATAGCTTTGCTATATAAACTACCAGTTTCATGATAAACAAACGACATAATCTTGCAATTTGTGAATGTTACTTTCGACTTATTCGGTCTAATTGATTTGAACAAAGGAAGAAGAAAAAACAATGGGAAGTGCCCTAAGACTCGATTACTAACAAAACCGCTGTCGCCAAAACTCACACTATCATAATGTTAAGCACTTATGAAATCTTGATAATGATTGGTCGTAGTTTCTAATTTAAAAAGATGTAATAATTTGAAAATTTTACGAAGAAGTGCCTGATTTAATTAAAAAAGGAAATTTTTTTAGTGCTTTATTGCCATAATACAAAGGGCAGGCGTTAGCACTTTTTCAATCGTTTATATTTTTAACTAATGTCGATAGGATGCGTATACCTTTAATTCGTGAAAGTAACAAATAGGTAGCAATTATTGGTAATACATACTTCTGAAAAATCTGCTCCCTTCATGCTGAACAAAGTAGAGAACTATTTTTTTTAATTTCTCAGAATATATCAAAGGTAGCAATTATTTAGAAAAGGTAGCAATTCTTGAATATACACTCAGTGCCAGATTCGACAGGCGACCAGTCTAGACATGGGGTAGAGCGTTACATTTCTATCGCCGTGATTGTCGTACCGGTTCCAAAAAAATCACGGTGATCAGTCCTCAAATCCTGAATCATGGACCATTTTGGCAACCTTTTTTGCTTATTTGTTTTAACGTTTTTTTTCTATCATCATTATTACATTTACCAATTTTTTTTTCTTTTCCCTTTTTTTTCTATTGTTTATATATTTATGAAATAATTTATAATTGTTTGTATTTTATAATGTATTTTGCATATCAAATAAATACGATTTTATTTTATTTTTTATTTTTATTATTCGTTCAACTGCTGGGCACAGGTTCATATGAATTGTCAATTTTTGTAGTTCATACATTTTATACACACACACGAAGCATTTAGAACTATGTCTATTAAAAATACACTGAGACATATATTACAATTTTTCATTTTATTCAATATAGTTACAATACAATACAATACAAAAATTCTTTATTGTACACCAAAAAAGGAAACAAATACAATAC